TTTACTTTTTTATGTTTTTCCTTATACTTTTGAATTTTACCTTCTTAATCTTGCATGACGAAATTCAATTTTCCAGAAATACAGGAAGGGAGCAAAGTCACCCAGGGGCAGAATCTAATGTAAATAGTTGCATCACAGCAGTTTGTAAAAAAAAAAAAAAAAAAGCAGATCAAACAGTCGAGTGTTGTTTAAAACATCTGCCTCTCTGACTGTAGTCAGACCGCAGTCATGATAGTCTGGGCTGTCCTCGCTCTGGGTCTGTGTGGTGTTCTACCTACACTAACAGAGGTTGTCAACGACTTCACACGCTGTTCAGGGTTCTTCTACAAAGGAAGCCAACCTCAAGGTTTTGATCAAAATGCCCAAAAAATATGTCAAAAGTTTGAAAATAGCTCGTACTTCTTCGCTTCGCTGTATTCTACTGCCAAAAGGACCCCACTCTACAGCGCCTACACCTTTGACTATGCGTGCAACAACCAGGAGGGACGGAAAACTGGGAACTGGTTCATTGAGCCGCAGGTAAACTGTTATTACTATCAGTTTATGGGAAACTTTGTTTGGTTTAAATTATCATTAGTAAGACTGTGCCTTCTCCTGTTAACAAGTGTATATTTTTGAGATATCCAGAAGATGAGCTGCAAATTGTTGGTTGCTTGAGTAATGCACTTTCTTTCAATGAACAAGCTTTGTTCATAAAGATGTACACGGAATAAATTTGATGGTAAAGTAAGTTATATTTAAGGAACTTTAGAAAAGATTTTGGAATAAACTTAAGTCTATTTCACTGATTTTGTTTTACACAGAGAAACAAAAAAACCATTAACTTATAATGAAATTCAGATATACAGAGTATATTTTTAAAAAAGTGTTCATGTATTGTGTCCGATTCTTTGACCCGAGAATGTTAATAAATAATCTCTGCAAAAAGGTTACTGTAAAATTCAATTGATAACCTCTTTATAACAAAACCATGTTTGTTTTTATTATTAAATTATACACTGTAAAAAAATATTCCGTAGAAGAACGGAAAATGTCCTGGTAATTTTCTGCCAGTACATTTTCTGTTTTTTTTACAGATGTTTGACGGACTTTTCTGTAAACGATAAAACGGAAAATTCTGTAGATTTACAGTATACTCTCTGTACTATTTACGGACATTTCCTTCAGCTATAAAACGGAAAATTCCGTTTATTCACAGTATATTTTCTGTATCATTAACTGATATTTTCTGTTAATAGAAAAATTGAAATTTCTGTTTATATTACTATTTCCAAGCACTTCTTTTCACTGTAACTCATTAAATATAGTTCTTTATATCCTTAAACGTACATTTCTATGCAATTACAACCTAGTACACCATGTACTCAAAAATTCATAAATTAAAACTTAAATTAATTTGTGCTTCG